AGAGGCGGCAGTTCTCAAAGAGAAGAGAAAGTGAAGTGGGGTCAAGCAGCAGTAGCCACACAGCCAACAAAAGGAGGCCATTGGCTCTCCAAAACTTCATGAAATACAAGTATTTCAGCGGTCTAACCCTAGGCTCACCCGGTTCGGTTTTTGATGTTCGGGAAAACCCCCCGGTCCAACGACAGGGGATCACTACTGCTAACCCCCTACACAGGGGCTCGCTCTCTTCAGTACTATTTCCTGTGGAGAATGAGCACCGTGATTCACCGCCATCGCTTCTAGCTGAAACTTGCGATGAGGAGATGAGCTTCATGGCAAAGCTCTTCGGGAGCTCACCGTCATCATCGGGAACATCAATGGTGGCAAAAAATAATGGGTCGCATCTCGACCACCACCACCACCAGCACCACAACTTTGGTGTATTTCAGGGTAATAGAGAGGATGGGATAGAAGAAGACAGTTGGAGCACATACCTTGCATCTGACCCGAGCTTGTAGGAACCCGGTTTTCAAGTTCATTCATATGAGCATATACATCCTCTCTCTCATAAACTCTTTCCTATTTTGACTTGTGAAAACAGTTTATTTATTTATGATATAAATTCAACATAATGGCATTCATATTATGGTATAGTTTTGATTCTAGTCTTTAACCCGCGATATTTATTTTTTGCACGAACACTGCACGACATTTTTTCTTGCACGAACATTGCACGTTCAAATTAATATTTTTTTAAAAGGGAAATTTACGACTAAAAACATAATGACTTTCTAAAAATAGAACCATATATTTTTATTCCCCAATGTAGGATTATTGGTCATTATCTATTAGTCATTATTCAACCAAATGTTTAGCATTACTTGGACATTATTTTTTTCACTAGTCATTATTAAGTCCTGTTCAAAGAATAAAAAAGTTTAAATCTTATATTAAATTAGGTAATGGCTTATGTTTTAGTTCTATTCCGTACAAATTTCAATTTTTAAAATTGAATGACGGTGAGTATATATGTATCTAATCTCTTAATAAATGGCTAGACTTAGAGAGTGTAATTTGCAAGGAGGGACAAGGAGAATGGTGAACCAGTACTGGCGTTCCTCGTCTTCTTCCTGATCATCAGCCATCGATATGATAAGGGTGCTTCTGCTGCTCCCTCTCCTAATTATGGAGTTATGGAAATAGAAGATGCACCAAATGCCCAAACCCAATGGTCTAATTACCATTGTTAACTGCATAGTTTATGTTGCTAGCTTGTATAGGGCAGCCTAGTTGTTGTATTGCATGAGTTAAGGACAAAGTGTTTTATAGTTTGGGTTTATCATCGCCTTATAACTCATCAATAAGAAATGCAAATTAAATCATGCAATCTTTCTATTAGTAATTGTTAGGCAATATTAAATGATACGCCGGAGTAAAAACTAAAGTAGTCCTTTTGGTATTTTACTTCGCCCTTCTCTGAAAATATGAGAAATTTTTTATTTTTAAGAGATTTATGGAGAGTGTATTTTGATATTGAGTTTCTATATATATTCTTGGATGTGATGGAAAAAATTGGATTTGATGGGTAAATTAATAATAAATAAATGTGATGTGATAGATATGTTAAAAATTTGTATGGGTAACCCTCGGGGTAAACCCCCAAGCCCGTCCCGAAACGTCAATTTTATGAACGGGCACCGTAGTACCTCCGGGTCATCCCATTATATTAAATTCTGCTCCCAATGTCATGGGAACCAGCCTCTTCATTTAATTTCTATTTTTTTAATTTCCACTTTAATATAACAAATTAATTTACAGAAAACCTGTTGGAGCGAGGATGGAGAGAGGCTCTTGGTGGAATTGCATGAGCAGCTCGGGAACCGGTGGTCCGAGATTGCGAGGCGTATCCCAGGCCGGTCTGAGAATGGAATAAAGAACCACTGGAATGCCGCTAAGAGGCGGCAGTTCTCAAAGAGAAGAGAAAGGGAGGTGGGGTCAAGCAGCAGCAGCAGCCACATAGCCAACAAAAGGAGGCCATTGGCTCTCCAAAACTATATCAAATACAAGTATTTCAGCGGTCTAACCTTAGGCCTACCCGGTTCGGTTTTTGATGTTCGGGAAAACCCCCCGGTCCAACGACAGGGGATCACTACTGCTAACCCCCTACACAGGGGCTCGCTCTCTTCAGTACTATTTCTTGTGGAGAATGAGCACCGTGATTCACCGCCATCGCTTCTAGCTGAAACTTGCGATGAGGAGATGAGCTTCATGGCAAAGCTCTTCGGGAGCTCACCGTCATCATCGGGAACATCAATGGTGGCGAAATAAATTGGGTCGCATCTCAACCACCACCACCGCCAGCACCGCAACTTTGGTGTATTTCAGGGTAATAGAGAGGATGGGATAGAAGAAGACAGTTGGAGCACATACCTTGCATCCAACCCGAGCTTGTAGGAACCCGGTTTTCAAGTTCATTCATATGAGCGATACATCCTCTCTGTCATAAACTCTTTCCTATTTTGACTTGTGAAAACAGTATATTTATTTATGATTTAAATTCAATATAATGGCATTCATATTATGGTATAGTTTTGATTCTAGTCTTTAACCCGCGATATTTATTTTTTGCACGAACACTGCACGAGCATTTTTTCTTGCACGAACATTGCACGTTCAAATTAATATTTTTTTAAAAGGGAAATTTAGACTAAAAACATAATGACTTTCTCAAAATAGGACCATATATTTTTATTTCCCAATGTAGGATTATTGGTCATTATCTATTAGTCATTATTCAACCAAATGTCCAGCATCTCTTGGACATTATTCTTCTCAGTAGTCATTATTATGTCTTGTTCAAGGAATAAAAAAGTTTAAGTCGTATATTAGGAAATGACTTATGTTTTAGTTCTATTCCGTACAAATTTCACTTTTTAAAACTGAATGACGGTGAGTATATATGTATCTAATCTCTTAATAAATGGCTAGACTTAGAGAGTGTAATTTGCAAGGAGGGACAAGGACAATGGTGAACCAGTACTGGCGTTCATCGTCTTCTTCCTGATCATCAGCCCTCGATATGATAAGGGTGCTGTTAGAGTTTATCCCACATCGAAATTTGAAGAGAAAATAAACTGGTATATAAGTCCTTGAGTTGAACTAACTAATCGATTGGATTCAATCTTTTAATGCGGTTCAACCCAAGTGTCTTATTACCCAGTTCAGTTGTCTCTACCCAATCCTAAATTCTATCATGGTATCGGAGCAGGTTTTGGCCCACCTCGTTTGTCAAGGTGTCCGTCTAGACGTTCATTCCTAGCGGTCCGTTTGTCTCTAGCCCAGTTGTCCGTATGGAGTATTTATCCAACGGCCTGTGGCCTGTTTAACACGATTGCTCGTCTGGAAGTCCATACCCAGCTGCTCGTGGTCTTTAAGTGTTGACGCTCAAAAAAAAAGTCAAAGAATTGGGAGTTCATTTGCAAGTGGTCAACCGGTTAGATTCAAAATGGCCCGGTTGTCCACTTGAGGAGGGAGTGTTAGAGTTTATCCCACATCGGAATTTGAAGAGAAAATAAACCAGTATATAAGTCCTTGAGTTGAACTAACTAATCGATTGGATTCAATCTTTTAATGCGGTTCAACCCAAGTGTCTTATTACCCAGTTCAGTTGTCTCTACCCAATCTTAAATTCTATCAGGTGCTTCTGCTGCTCCCTCTCCTAATTATGGAGTTATGGAAATGGAAGATGCACCAAATGCCTAAACCCAATGGTCTAATTACCATTGTCCATTGTTAACTGCATAGTTTACGTTGCTAGCTAGCTTGTATAGGCCGGGCGGGCTAATTGTTGTATTGCATGAGTTAAGGACAAAGTGTTTTATAGTTTGGGTTTATCCATCGCCTTATAACTCATCAATAAGAAATGCAAATTAAATCATGCAATCTTTCTATTAGTAATTGTGAGGCAATAATAAATGATAACCCGCAGTAATAACTAAAGCAGTCCTTTTGGTAGTTTACTCCGTCCTTCTTTGAAAATATGGGAATTTTTTATTTTTAGGAGATTTATGGAGAATGTATTTTGGTATTGAATTTCCATAAATATATTTGGATGTGATGAAAAAAGTTGGATTTGATGGGTAAATTAATAGTGAATAAATGTGATGTGATAGATATGTTAAAATTTTGTATGGGTAACAGTGACTAAGTGACTTTTAAATAGAAATGAGAAAAGTTTTTTGGGATCGATGAAAAAAGAAAAGAGAAGGATTTTCAGAGACGGAAGTAGAGGTGATCGAAAATTGCAATTATCCCTGATATTGCATAAGAGGTAGACATGAGCCGCTATTCGGTGAAAATGTTTGCATATTGTAAACAAAAATGTTAGGGGTACATCAAAAATATACTCAATGTATATCATCCCCTAGATTATCACATATTTTGGTATATAAATGAAATAAATAAATAAATAAAAATCAGTGATAATAGAGGGAGTCATGTATATTTGGGATACACCACGTGCATTACCTAACAAATTTTCAATCTTGCTCACTTATATTTGACCTTAATTATGGCAATAGTCTAGAAGTCTCCTCTTCTGGTATTTATACCAACCTTAAATTAATAATGTGTTACTTTGGCAATATGAGTAAATGATACTCCGAATGTCAAAGATGGGGTGAATTTCAAATCTATTTATATTTATTTCACAATATTAGAGGAATGTACGTGTTACTGTATATATGGAGTAATATGAAATAAATAGTTTGAAATTAGGTGTAATGTGATAAAAAACATTTTTGCAAAATGAATTAATGTGACAAGAGGGCTAATTATGAATCTAAGATTTTTAATTTGTTGCATATTTTTGGTAAATAATGCTGATTTTTGTTACAATAACGTATCCGTCTTAATTTTGTTTTTATTCAATTAAGATGTTATTCATTTATATATAGTATTTTCACTAATTTTTTTCAATTATACAAATATAAAAGACGTCAACATCTATCACGGGTATACCCGACCCAATACCAAGATCCAAAGGATCCAAATCTAGTATCAAAATTCAAGACCCATCAGATAAGCAGGTACATGTTAGGATCAATTTTTTTTTAAAATGTACGGGTATAAAGCACTATAGACCAGCCCGAACCCGACTTATTGGTAGGCTTAGTCCTCCCCTATCTTCTCTCAAGACATGGCCTCTGTACATTATTCACAAGTCACAAAGGGAGAAGGACCAAACTAGGAGTAAAAGTTATCTCATATTCTCAAAATAGGAGTTCAAACTTAAACTCCTCTAAATAGGAGTAATTAATTAATTTTAGTCCTCAATTATCATTATCTCTCTTCTCACATGCACTCTTCTCCCTTTTTTGTTTTTTTCTTTTCTTGCATGCGTTAAGGGGGGTTGGGCGACATTGAGTTATGAGTTATGGGTAGGAATTATAATAGATTAGGAAATTAATTAGTTAATTATTATATTTTAAAATCTTTATATTTATTTATTGAACCGTAACATTTATTTCACTCATAACTTCTTACACCAAAATCTACACTTAACAATCTATATACTGTTAGTCACCTTTTTACGAGATCAATCCAATTACCTATTTTTTAAATTAAAAGGTTGACTTTACAAATAGTTTATATTTTCGAGTCAAAAAATAAAATAAGACATTATATTTACTCCCTCTGTTCCACAAAACTCTTCCTCTTTCGTTTTTTTTTGCTTTCCACAAAACACTTCCACTTTCTATTAAAAAACCACTTTTACCCCTACTTTTTCATACTCTGCCTATCACATCATACTTTTTCACTAATAACCAAACTATCATATCTTACTTTTTCCCTTCACATCATGGGCAAAATTCTTAAGCAATAAATAGAAATTTAGCAAATTGCTACAGTAAAATGTATATACAATGTCAAACAAGACCACATTTAACGCCACACGTAACCGTATAATGACAATCATGTCATTATATAAAGTCACACATGCAAGTGTATAATGACAAATATGCCAAAGTATAATGTTACATATAACACGTATGTTAATTCATAATCTCAAAAAAGTTAAACATCAAGAAACTCTATTTGCCAACACAATAATCATTTAGTTTCAATATATGTTTAACAAAATAATTTTCTAAAAAGTTAATCCAAATTTATAATCAAATGTCACAACCTATGTGAAATTGAATACAAAATTGAATCTAAAGTTTCAAACTCACGCAAGGCTAAAAAAATTGGTACCAATTTTACAAAATAATTCCAAAGAAGTAAATTTTAGATTTAAAATTGAATTTAACTATTTATGTCAAATTAAATATCAAATTGAATTCAACTTACTCAAGAGGACAAAGGCATCCGAGCAATGAAAAATGAAAATGGCGGGTGGGGTGTGTATGAGAGAAAGGGAGATGATGGAGGGATGTGGAATCATTGCCGCATAGAGTAGATGGTAGCGGCGAAGATGAGATTGAGATTAGATTGACAACGTTAGCAACTGAGATTAGAAAAAAGAAGGAGATCGTAGAAGGATGTGATTGGGAAGGAGCCGGGTGACTTTTTCGACCGCATAGAGCTGAGATGTGGTGGGGTTTGTCCAGAAGAATAAATGAAAACAAAATTTAATTAATTACTCCTATTTAGAGGAGATTAAGTTTGAACTCTTATTTTGAAGATATGGTATATTTTTACTCATATTTAGGAGTTTTCTTACCATCAAATTCTCCCGATCCGTGTAGTACATCGTACGAACCTGTCAGAAGAAGAAAAGTACATGGACCATGCTACACACCCCCCACCTTTGCTACCAACCTTGCCTCCACTCATTTCTCCACCACACATTTATCTCCATCCATTCTCCCTCTACTCTTTAATTTTATTTTTCTTGCCTCCCTACCACATGTTTATGTAGGGGGGCATGGATGGTAGGAAAAGTGGGGGGTTCTTAGCATTCTCCAAAGTACATTCCCTGTAAGTACGGTTTCATCCACCAACACGGATCAAGTGAAGTCATAGTGTCATACTCAAAAATCAATGGTGAGGGACTGAGGGCTGACGGAAAATACACCATTAAATAGAGAGTACTCTTCCCCTTTGTAAAAAAAACTTCTCATTTTGATTTGGTGCAAAAATAAAAAAATGTTAAATTATATTCCCTCCGTCCCAAAAAGGTATACATGTTTCAAAAAAAAATGGCGTTCCACAATCCTTTACTCATTTCTATTAAAAAATCACTTTTACCCCTTACTTTTTCAAATCCTACCTATCACATCATAACTTTTTTCTAATAATCTACATATCACATCATACTTTTACCCATCACATCAAGGGTATTTTTGGAAAGTCAACACAAAATTATCCCTCCCTTAATTTTTACTTTAGTCAAAACGTACTCATCTTTATGGGACGGAGGGAGTAGTTGATTTCCAATTTTGCCCCTGATGTGATGGATAAAAGTAAGATGTGATGGATAGATTGTTAGAAAAAAAAGTATGATGTGATAGGTAAGGT